ACAGAGCCACCATGATAAAGAGGGTAAAGGAGAAAAAAACAGAGGAGAGGCAGCGGCCGCCGAGCGGCCCTGACAGTTTGGCCAGCGTCTGGCAGATGAACACAGTGGATTATTTTTTACTCCTCAGAGCAAGCCTGAGCATCTGGCCTGGCTAGTGCGGCCGCTGGTAGTGTCCACATGTCCACCAGGGCCCACATGTGAGGGCACCTTTATATAAAAACATAAAGGTAAATGCACACTTTATATGATTATCAAAATTCTTATACTAATCAGTAGATCATGCTTTGCTGTCATTTCTGAGATTTTTAACTGTTATTGCCTTCCTGTCAGGTTTTTTTTATTTTATTTTATTTTTCTTACCTACTCAGCACCTGGTCACAAGTCCTGTATCAGCATCCACCGCTGAGGTTTCCTGGCCAACCAGCGTGACGCTGCCTGTCTGAAATGTCTAGCCAGCTCCCTAGACCATCCTCGCCTTGTCGGCTCCCCTCAACTGTGCACTGCTGAGTCCCTGGTGGCACAGGCCCCACATCTGTCTGCCTGACTCACCTGCGTGCTCATGGCCAAGACTCATTCCCATCTGTCATTTTGGAACCTTGTACACCTATCTTGATTAAACATTTCTAAACTCTCTTCCTTGTCATGGTCTGCATTTTTGGGTCCTAGCCCAATGAGAGAACCACAAGCCTCTGATCAGCAGCTATAGCCAGACACGTCTGACAACAAATGCCTTCAGTTATTGGTCTCTGACCTCAGCAGCTGCAGTGATATGTTCACTCATCCTAAATAATTGCAGAAAGTCTTTTTTGGGGGGTTTACAGCACTTGTACTCTGTTTTAGGCATCAACCTATATTGTTCATGACACTTGATGCCAGGGGTTTAAAAATTCTTTGAAAAGGAAAGCTGTTTTATTTGCCAAGCAATTTAGAACTGATCTAGACTTTTTTTCAGGAAATGCACTCTATATCTGATGAATTTAATTTTTGGAGATCTCAGTGGGGTAACAGTTTGTGGTTTTTGCATGGTACACATGAGGTAGCAGGTGTTTCTATTCTTAAAAATAACTTCAACTTGGTGATGTCTTGCGTTCAATTTTACATCAGATTTAGTATAGACAAAATTCCTGTAAAGCTAAGCAATGTTTGGTGCCTGGTCCACAATTTACATGCACAATTTTTCACCACACACTCATATGGAATAACCAGTACATTTTGTATAAGAACAGATATATATATATATATATTTTTACCATTGGCTTAATGTGCTTCAAAGTCATTTTTTTTCAATGATCAAGGATTGCTCTTTATCAGGAATTTTTGTCATAAGATCCCAGTTACTCCCAAAGACTTTGCTGTGTTTGGTGTCATCCCCTCTAGCATACTAATGTTATTCAGAGGTGGTCCCCACCCAAGTACTACTCCTATTGAAAATGTGTTTTTCAACAAAGAATAGGATAATTCACTTTATTTCAAAAGGAAATTGCTTCTCTCTCTAATGCTATCAGTTACTGTGTTCGCCAGATTAAAGCATTTATGAATAAGCTGTCGCTTTGTTAGGTTAAACAGGTTAGCATAAAACCTTTAGAATTTTGAAATGCTATTGAGCATTATAATCAATAAAATAAAAATAGACTATCTCCTGTGGCTTCGGAATCTGTGTAGTGATGTGTTTAAACCGCTAGTCTATTTAGTGCTCTGAACATGATATACACTAAATGGTGTGATCAGTCACAAACTTGACAGATGTGCAGGTGATGTCCAGATGTTTGTGTGGTGAATGCAAGGGATTTAATGCTGGCTGATTAAGTTACACACAGTGGCCAGTGTGAAAAAGTAATGACATGCAGTTCTCTTTAGGTATAACTCAGATATCAGAGCTTCAGCATTTAAATGAAATATGTGACTAATTAGTTTTAATGAAAGATGACAGCACATTTCTGAGCAGTTATGCACATCATTATTGTGAGAAAGGCAATGTGAGGCAACCATGGCTTGAACAATAGTTTGATATTTAAGCTACAACATTGGTGTTGAATGTGACAAGGGATGACCTGGACATGGAGTTGATCATTTCTCTGAAACCTTACAGCACAGCAATCAATATGTGCTTGTAAATATGAGAAAAAAAACAACACTTTTGTTATAAGCCACTGTAGTGTTTGCTGGAGTAAGAAGGGTCAGGAGACCAAAGCTTGCCTTTTTTTCCATTTTATTTCCACACACATGCAACCACACAGTAACAGACCCCCCCCCCCAAATAAACTATATAGACACTGCCCCGGGAATTACCCCACCAAGTCCTTCTCTGCCTTTCCAAATGTACTCTGACTCCACCTAACTGGCTACTGTCCCCAGTAACCAGCCATAGTCTCACAGGCGTTCGAGGAGGAGCCAGCTGGGCTTGTCCTGGTAGCTCCTTGGTGTGAAGGGGGGTCGGGGCCCAGTGGCTGGCTTCCAGTGTCAAGGTTTTGCAGAAGCCAAAAGGCAACTACTACATCCTTAGCCAATGGAGAAGGCAGTCTTGGGCTGTGCATCTAGCATGAACTCCATCTGCCAGTAGCTGCTGTGCTAATCAGGGGAACTAACCCAGTGGGACCTAGTGATATAGTCCAGGGCGTCATCGATGCAAGGCAGCAGATAAGAATCTTTGAGTAACCTTGTTAAGGCTGCAGTAGTTGACACATGGCCTCCAGGTACTGACTGTATTCTGGACCATAACAGGTGCCAGCCACGGGCTGTTGGGTGGCTTGATGGTGCCCACTCCTGTCATCTCTCTAATCTTCTGTTCCATTGTAGCTTGTGTGGTGAGAGGTAGGCACCGCGGTCAGAGGCAGATGTGGGGTGCATCAGTGTTGTGCTGCTCCAGGCTAGTGTGCATGCAGTCTTCATCTGTGGCCGCAAAGATGTTCACAAAGGCCTCCAGCAGCTGCCTCTGATGTCATCTCCGATGTGCCGATTCTGGTGGCTCTCACTGAGAGCAGAGTAGCTAGCAAGCTTGAAGTGGCTGTCTGGCTTTTTGCTCTGGATTGTAGTGTTACCTCTTCTTCCAGCTGGGAGACAAGTTCGTCAGTCTCCCGGAGTAATGTCATTTTCCTCAGAGATCCCACTTCTGACATGAATGTAACATTTCCTGAGTGAAGAATGTTTGGGAGACCATAGCTAGTCTTTGTTTTATTTTTATACACATACACACACAAATGCAACTGCACTGTAACAGAATACACTGAATAACCCTGCCCTGTCATCTAGGCATGGACAAGTGAGCAGACAACAGGTGGATACAACTTTACCTTTCTTCATTACTGGTGTAGCTATGGATAGGTGAGCCAGCAACAGGTAACTGCAGCTTCACTTCTCTTCTTCAATGGTGTGAGCTGAATGATTGCCTAGAGTAGTGGAGAGAGAGAGAGAGAGAGTGCAAGGAGAGCAAAATTGTAAGCACAAGAAACAGATGAAACCCAGAACATGATAGTTTTTCCATTTATACTGTATGTCACTTGCAACAAGAACCAACATCTAACACTGTCAGTGTTCAGTGTTTACTAAGTGTAAAAATGTATATGCAACTATTTTTATCTGTTCATTTAGTCTTTATTCAGTCAAGTGCTGTCAACCTGACAAAGGGAACTAATATTCTCCTGTTGGTTTTGTCCATTCAGCTGACCTGCCTCCACCAGAACAAGTTGTTCAGCTAATTGTCACCAACCTGAGGAACCGTCCTCTGAGCATCAGCGACATCGAATCCATGTGGGACACCATCCTGAGCCTGTACCACAACCTCGTCACAGGCTCCAAAGACTTCCCTTTCATTCATTGGCAGGGACCTCACCTCCTTTCTGTTGGAGTCACCCTTCAACTCCATGCAGCAGGAGTGGGAGAACACCACACCCTCACCTCTGACGGCTGCACCACCAGGCATGATGGTGCCCACTTCAGGCTCCGGCTCGGCTCCTGCAAATATTTTCACTCCAGTTCTCCCTGAGAAGACGGAGCTGGGAGCCCTGAAGGCTGACCGCAGAAACCATGTGCAACTCCTGCAGGTTGGCAGCAGCACTGTGACCAGAGTCATCTCCCCAGTCTACCGCTCTGACAACAGTGAGCTGACAAACCGCTGGAGAGTGACTGACTACAGTGCAGAGGGACAAGTCCTCATGTCAGTGCTGTGTCACTTCTTGTTAATCAGTGACAGAGTGTGAAGGCATGGCCCAGGTGTTCTCATGAGCAAACCAGGACACCTAGCAGTTTCAGGAGGACCTGCGGGCTCCAAGCTCTTTGAGGTTTAATCTGCTGCAGCTTCTGGTTGTTCCCTTCAGTACTGACATTGGTGGAGTTGAAGGCTGAAGGGACACCTTGAACATATAACTGTGTTTGTCCAGCATCTGGCAGATGAACACAATGAATTATTTTTACTCCTCAGAGCTAGCCTGAGCGTCTGGCTGGGCTAGTGAGGCCCCTGGTAGTGTCCTGCACCGGGGCCCACACGCTACACCATATGAAGGATGTGGTTGGCTGAGGGGTAGATTCGTACATTTGTATACAGTTTGCTCATCATGACTGCACTACAGGTCAGTAATTTCAGTGCCTCTTGCACTGGCCCATTCTGCACCTTCTTTATTTTACATAGCATCTCAGAGTTCAATATTCTGTGTTCATGGTGTAGAAAGTATAACCAGCAGCTAAAAGTATGAACTGTTTCCTCCCCCATCAGCTGTTTGTCTTTAAGGGAGAAAAGACCAGGACATGCCATGAATTCATCAAAAAAGGTATATGCACACTTTATATTAAAATTCCTATACTAAATCAATAGATCATGCTTTGCTGTCATTGCTGAGATTATTAACTGTTATTGCCTTTGTCATCCGTTTTTTAGAGAGAGAGGAGTGCAGAGGAGCAAAAATGTTGCGAGAGAAGGAGACAGCGGCACTGTGAACCATCTCCGTTAAAAAGGTTATTAACCTTCATCCTGAATTTATATCATAATATTTATACAAGTAAATGTTTATGGGTGATGAAATTATTTCCTAATGTCTCTCTCAATGTACATCATTTGTCTTTTAGAGAGAAGAATCACATCCAGATCAAGAGTGGACCAGTGGCTCCAGCCATGATCCTCTGACATCCAGTGGTTGCAGCCATATTGTTAAGTTCAGGCTTAGAGCGGCCCAAAGCCAAACACAGACTGAGGTACAGTATTTAGTCAATTTTAATAAAGCCAATACGAAACAAAAACAAGAACTACTACTAAGGGGCTTGACCTGACAAATAAACACAGACTTTCACAGAAAACTACAATTAAACAGTAAAGTCGGGGAGTTATATCCTCAACTGAAAATACACAAAACTAAAAGAATAAACCAAAGTCCAAGACGGCGAGTTATTGCAGACTCCATAGGCGAGGCAAGAGAAAGAGTCCCAGAGTTTTCTAAGTGGCAAACAAATCCCGAGAAACTTACTGAGCAGCAAGAATAGGCAGGGTGTGGTGAGCAGACACAAAAACAGGAGCAACAAGGCGTGGAAACAAAACGAACCAGCAACCAGATTGCAGGAAGGGAGGCGCATATATAGGGAGAACACCAGTGGATAATGATCAACAGGTGGAAACAATAAATGGTGATTGTGACTAGAGTAAAGCTGCAAGTGAGGTGATATAGAACATGAAGTCTAACCAAAATAAAAACAGGAAGCCAGACCACAAACCATAACACATATGCCTCCCAAGACCAGCATCTACACCCATAAGTCTCCAGTTGCTACAACCATATGCCTTTGATGATCAGCAATCAATTTCTGACTACCAGCAGCCCTAGCCATCCTGGTCTGATGATCAGCTTCTCCAGCTATATGCGGGGCTCCAGCCATGAGCCTCTAATATCCAGCGGCTGCAGCCATTTGCCTCTGAGGACCAATGGATACACCCATATGCCTCTGATGACCTGTCTTTCCTGCCATACACCTCTGACAACCAGCGGCTCCAGGCATACACATCTGACATCAGCTACAGCCATAAGTCTGTGACCTCCTGTGCCTCCACCCACATGCATTGTGAGGTCAAGTGGCTCCACCCATAGGCCTCTGACAAGCAGCAGCTCCAGCCATATGCCACTGTCTCTGTCAGGATGTGATGTGATGTGATGTGATGTGATGTGATGTAATGTAATGAAGCTTTGTTTGTGATGCCTGATTCTTGGTGAAGAGAGGCATCAAAACATACCATCAGACACCAACCTTGACAGTAGTGAAACTCTGCACAGGGGATGTTTTTAACAATAAAAAATACAGAATATCACCAACCTTATACTTTAAAGAGGTGAGCACAAACATTTAATTGTCTATAGACAGTGGCAGATTTTAAGAAGCTGCCTGCAGAAGCATAATGTTCACAATTTCGCTGCGATCCTGCAGAGAACCAAATGCACAGGCTGAATGTGCTTGTTTAGTTCTTGAAGAAGATAAGAATGTCATCAAGGTCAACAAAGACAAACATACTGAGCATGACTCTTAGTCTCATCATCGCATGGACCACTGGCTGTAAAAATGATGGATAGGCTAACATCTCCCAGAAGTGAAGCCCACTTGGTAGCTGGTGCAGTATAGGTCATAAATCCCTCCTCCTCCATGTTAGTGGATGGGACATGAGCCAAACTAAAAACTCAAAATACAATTCAAATTTATTTTTCCCAGAGGTCATTTCTGTGGTTTTTGGTAGATATTACCATTGGTTATGTTTCTGTTAAGTTTGTTTTTAATAGGCTATTTGATTATATAAAAAGGGGTGTATTTCAGTTGATTTCACAGCTTTGATTGGTGGTCTGATGCTATTACTCCACTTCTGGTTGCTACTGCTACGGCTTGTAAAAATTATTTCATTATCAGAAATTATTAAGCTTGGTAGGCTAACCTTAAATCTTCCCTGAGAAAGTATAGCTCAAGGTACTTTCACCCATTAAAAAAAATGGCAGAACTGTTTCTAAATTTTGCAGCCTACTGTTGATGATTGTCATTTGGGCTGTTTTTGGCTTTTTTTTTAATCTGTGCGGTCATTTTGTGTCTCTTTTTTATGTCTTAGGCTGTGTCTCTGTAGTTGTTTGTGTCTCTGTCATAGTTTTTTTTTCTCTCTAGTAATTTTTGTCTCTATAGTCGATGGTGTGTCTTATGTGGAAAGTGGTATGCCTACGTTTTCCGCGTAATTTTACTATTGCTGATTATTTGAAATTGCCATGCATGCTCCGCAAATAAAATTTGTCCTGATAAGTGATATGTCACGTTATGATTGTCTTCATTTAACGTTTTATTTTGGAGGTCACGGCCGGAACTGTCTTTGCTCTCATATTAGAAAACCTGTCAGTGGTCTTCCAACAGCTCTGCCACGTCGAACACCGCGGGGACCAGCAGGTTTTTAACTACTGGAAAAGACTTGTCCTCGGCAGAAACAGCGCAGGAGACCGAAACTAACTTGTCACCACTCTGACCCCAGCTGTAAGATAACTTTCAGTCCTTACTGACTTATCGAGCCGTCAGCAGTGTTTGTCTGTGCTCTAACGCTAACTCACATGTCCTAAACTTAGTACGTGTTAACTCACATGAGTAGCCACCGGATACAGGAGCGTCCACCAACTTCCTCAGCATCTTATTGAAACGTTAAGGCCTGAGAGAAACTGTGCTTCCATATGGTGACAGGCGGCCGAGCTACACGTTAGCCAGTTAGCTGTGAGCTGAACCCACTGCAGACAGCTGGTTGCAATTCCCCACAGTCCATGGTGATTGACCAGCAGCCCAAACCACAAGATATTCAGTTTGCTACCACTTGCTGATTAATTTTCTGTTGGTGGACTAATTACTGGAGCTTTACTGGAGAATGCAAACAGGAAAAGTGCATTAGCAGAGAGAAAGATACTTTCATATTAACTGGGGAACATAACCTCCTATACAGCCAGAAAGACAACTTGATCCCAACCATATCAATCTTACTGTTCGCAGGAAGCCAGCAGACAAAGTAAAGATGCCAAGAAACCAGTCACAGCAGCACACTGGCTGCTGGCATGCTTGTCTTCATTTTGCCCAGTGAAACTCTTCCTGAATCCAGGTGAACTGCAAGCTTCCTTCACATGATCAGCTTTTCACAATTAGTGCATTAAAGTCATTGTTATGTAGCATTGATGAAGTTTGAAGTCTGGGTGGATTTAACAAGTCAGCTCTGTATTCATACTTTCAGGCCTCTGTGTTTGTAGCTAGTCATGGATCATTCAGAGGCAGTTCACCATCTCTGAGCAAGTGTTTTATCATTATATGGAAATACTAATATTATATACAAAATGTTGTTTTAGATTATTTCCTAAAAAAAATCTATTGTACAAAGAAAAAAAGCGAAAAGGTGGTTAAAAAAATGCTATCACAATTCCCCACAGTCCATGGTGATTGACCAGCAGCCCAAACCACAAGATATTCAGTTTGCTACCACTTGCTGATTAATTTTCTGTTGGTGGACTAATTACTGGAGAATGCAAACAGGAAAAGTTTATTAGCAGAGAGAAAGAGAGCCCACATGTAGCACTTTGCTAAGTAACACCTATCACAAGGAAAGTCAACGCAAACTGCAGCCAAGCTTAATCCTCCTTGTCTTTGATGAAACTGTCCTCTGCTTGTTCCCTCCTACAGTTTGAAGTAGCTGCTAGAGTTTTTGATGCCACTAGGTGGTGCTTTATCAACACCCTGTGGATCAGTTCAGACTGCACTGGACTAACCCTGCAACTATTGTATGTGTACGTAAAGCCAAGTGTCACTGATTAACAACTCTCAAGTAATGACAGAGAGAGTTACACGTTGTTCCTCAGGCTCTGTGCTTCAGCACTTTCAGTTTGAAATAAATTAATGGATACTAAATTAAAGTACAAAGTCTCAGCTTAAGAGTGAGTAGGTTTAGGCCTGTGTTAGAGATATCACCCTTATAATTTAGGTGTTCAGACGTAATTGGACAGATAAACCATGAAGTCTCTCTGCCATATGTGTGTGTGTATATGTATATAAATCCCCCCCCTTTGGGGCGGTCTTGTATTCCTTCCTTCAAGCTCGGGTCCTCTACCAGAGGCCTGGGAACTTGAGGGTCCTGTGCAGTATCTTAGCTGTTCGTAGGACAGCACTCTTCTGGATAGAGATCTCAGATGTTGTTCCTGGGATCTGTTGGAGCCACTCTCCCAGTTTGGGGGTCACACTTCCTGATGTTGCTATCGCTTGGGATTGCTACATCTATCACTACGGCCTTCTTCCTCTGTTTGTCCACCACTACTATGTCTGGTTGGTTGGCCATTACCAGTTTGTCAGTTTGTATCTTGAAGTCCCACAGGATCTTAGCTTGGTCATTCTCAACCACCTTTGGAGGTGTATCCCATCTTGACTTTGGGACTTCTAGCCTGTACTCGGCACAGATGTTTCTATACACTATGCCAGCCACTTGGTTATGGTGTTCCATGTATGCCCTGCTTGCTAGCATCGTGAACCTCTGTGCTGTCTTTCAGTCCAGCTTTGTCCAGCCACTGGTAGGATTTTTTTGATATCAGCCACTCCTTATATTTGACGGTGGTACATACCGTGGAGGGGTTTGTCCTTCCGTGAGGGTTCCTGCTCTTCCTTCCCTTGTTCCTCTGGTTTCTGCTTCCTGAGGTATTCACTAAGCACGTCATCACTCGGGGCCATCTCCCTGATGTATTCATGGATCTTTGTTGATCCACACCTACTGTTTAAAGAAGCTAACTTCACTCCATGAGCGCCTGGCGGGACAAATGAACCAGCTACTAATGGATGGACCCCACCCTGAGTGGTTAACTGAAGGCCGGACAGTCCTGATCCTGAAGGACCCTCAGAAGGGAGCAGTACCGTCCAACTACCACCCAATAACCTGCGTCTGTACAACATGGAAGCTCATGTCAGACATCATAAGATGAGCAGGCACATGGTTCAATACATGAGCAGGGCCCAGAAAAGGATTGGTAGTAACACCAGAGGAGCAAAGCACCGGCTACTGGTTGATAAAATAGTCACTCGAGACTGCAAGACCAGGCATGCCAACCTGTGTGCTGCCTGGATTATCTACAAGAAAGCCTATGACTCAATGCCTCACACATGGATCCTGGAATGCTTGGAACTGTACAACATCAACAGGACTCTAAGAGCCTTCATCAAGAACTCAATGGGAATGTGGAAAACAACCCTAGAGACCAACTTCAAGCCAATTGCACAAGTCAACATCAAGTGCAGTATCTGCCAAGGAGATGCTCTGTCCCCGCTGCTGTTCTGCATAGGGCTGAACCCCCTCAGCCAGATCATCACCAAGAGTGGTTACGGATACCGACTAGGGAATGGAGCAACCATCAGACACCTCCTCCACATGGATGACATAAAGTTGTATGAGAGGAGTGAATGAGACATTGACTCGCTGATCCACACCACTAGGATCTACAGCCAGGACATTGGAATGTCATTCAGACTGGATAAGTGTGGTCGAATGGTAATGAGGAGAGGAAAGGTAGTAACCCCTCACTACCTCACCAAGCGTAATGATATATCCAATTCCACCATGTGAATTACTACATGCGATGTTTGAAGTTCACTGTGGGAAATACTATTACTAATACTATTATTATATTTTTGTGTATTGTGCTTTAATAGTTTGTCTCCCTTAGTCTTAAAATAAAAAGTTACATAAGTGTTCTTTCTGGCTTTTGACTCCTTACCTGACTTCAAAGGAGAGCTATACAAGAATTCCTATATGCCTAGACTGCCTATTTATGCATAAATGGCAAATAAAAAATCTTGAATCTTGTATAAACCAAGTTGCTTCTGCATAGAAATACTAGAACATACTGTACGTACAGCTCATTTTTTTGAGTTTTAGGTCATGTTTCATAAATATGATAATTCACTGATGTAACATTGTAGACAAATCAGAAAACAAGAAGTGGGGGAAGGGGTGTGTGGAAGAAGTGCGGTGTTGGCTCAGAGCAAGACATAAATACAAGGCAGAGTGGGGTGGGGAACAGCAGGGACAAAATGCCTCTAAACAGTTTTATTACTTTATCTGAATTTGCGCTAAATCTTAGTTATAGACGTTACCACTATTGTGCCACGTGCATAAATGTGCACAGCTACTTTTTCACTTTGCAAAGTCTATCCATCCTGCTCCTGTGATAGTTAGTTACTTAGCTAAAATAAACTCTGAGGAAAGACACCTGCAGTACAAATACTGTAGCTGCAAGCAGCAGACAAAACTGCAGCTCCTCTTAACATGTCAGTAAAACCTGGATTACATTCAGTGGCATGCGGAGACATTGGTGATCTTCATTAATCTGTCTTAGGGACTCGCCTTCATTGCATTACAGGTTGTATTTTGATGACATTTTCATCTGTAATAGATATGAAGTTGTGACGCAAAGTGAACAAGTAAAAACCTACCGTACCTGTAAGGTGATTTAGGAGAAGACTTGTGTGCGCTAAAGCCAGAAAAACATGTGCTCTCCAAGGTTTTTGGACCAGTGTTGGTGTGGGGGAAAGAAAAAGTCAGATGTTCAGACTTTGTCCTATGTACACAGAAAGTCCCTATTTCCTAACAACTAAAAGAGTGGCTTCAAGGCTTCCTCTTATTTGCTGTGTGATTTGCTATGCAATGCAAAATCTTGATTTATGGTATCAAAAGTTGTGACTATGAGCCTGGAAGCAGAACAAAAACCTGCAGAATGTAAATATTATCTAGTAGCCTACTTCATCTTTTTATCACCTGTTTTGAAGACAGAGGTACCTTAATGGCAATAACAATTTGTACAAAATACCATCCAATCATCACCACTCCTTGCTGTCCTTAAGTTTGTCTGCCAGTTTTGACCATAGGCTTTGTTTTACTTGTCTTTGCATTTAAAAATCAAACAATACTTTTATCATATTTTTTGTCTAAAAGGAAACTTCAAATAGCAAAAAATACACCAGCATCATCCTGAATACCAATAACATTCTAATTAGAAAATCAGTGAAAATAGAGCAAAGGGGGCTCCCATATTTGGGTTTGCCTGAGGCCCCAAATCACTAAATGTTCCACTGATTGTACACTGTATATCTAAAGAAGACGAGGATTCACTGTGGGCCCATTTGTAATCATCAGATCCCTTTGGACATCAGTTTGACCTTGAACGGCAGGTGGATACACTGTTGCAAGGAAAGATAAAGAGCCTTGGCCCTGCATCACCAACACCTGTGGGGTTTTTTTTTTTTTCTTGGTATTTGTTTGGTAATACTGCAGGATAAGTCAGTTTTCAGGAAAAGAATATCAAAATGTTGAATTCTGACCTCCAGTGTGTTTCCAGGAAGTCACTGCGCAGCTGTCTACAACATGAAAGCTAATTGGTTCTGCTATGTTTTTGTGTCTGTCAGGTTCTTGTGAGCACAGTGAAGACGTGGAGCAAACAGAAACGCCATGAGGCAGCTCAAAGGCAAACCCAAGAAAGAAACATCCAAGGACAAGAAGGAGCGAAAACAGGCCATGCAGGATGCCCGGAAGCAGGTGGCCACGGTAGTCCTGCCTACACTGGCAGTAGTGGTGCTGCTCATCGTGGTGTTTGTCTATGTGGCCACTAGGCCAGATGCTATCGAATAGACATTCTACAAAAGTGACATGAGCTCTCAAAGTGGCTGGGCTTTGACGGACTGACAGTAGCTATACCCAAAGGATTACCCCCCATCATATGACAGCATTCCCCCTGTAGTGACTGATTGGTTTTAATGAAAGCCTTCTCCAGAAAGCCTTCTCCAGAGTGCATATGTTTGGTCAAAGCGGCAGACAGAAGAAATCCAGCTGAGCAGACAAACTGTTGTTCCTTGGTGCCTTCAGATGACGAAAGATGGCCTGGTCATTTTAGAGCAGCAGATGGATTCATGTTGATGTCTTAGAAAATGATGCAGTTGGGATGCATACCAGAGGATTTGTGCACAGTCAGCCAAATTTGACCAGAAGTGTTTAAAAAGTCTAAACAGGTGATTGGTCTCTACCAGGTTTTTTTTTTTTTTGGTTGTAATATTTTAAGTCAGTACAACATGAGCTTGGACTCAGACATGTCTCATTCTCTGGACAGCATACACACCCACAGTATCGGTATGAAATGTGTTTTAGAAGGATTCTGTTTCTCCTGGCTTCAGTGCTTAAGGATTCTGTTGAATGTCATTATAGTTTGTTCTCTTAAGTTAAGTTTGTTGAAACACACCTGAATGTCTTCATCTGTGCAGATGTAGCAATGTGCCTTAACAGATTTGCAACTGTATTATTTCAGTTCAATAAATGATTTTTAAAATATTTTGGTTTCTTCATCTTTTTCTGATGCCGTAGATATTAATGGTTAAGACCACTGTGATGAAAACTGGTGTCTGCGTTGCTTGCTATTATTCAGTTACATTCATGTGAGTTGTATTGTGGAGATGGGGATTAAGTGGTGGTAGGAGTGTTCAAATCTTAACACACGGATGTTAATACTGTGTATATTAACCATTAGAAAAGGTTGGGCACATATAGTTTAGATACAACTAAGGTTTCTGCTAGTTTCTACTGAAAATATAGATCTACAAAAACGTGACATAAAAGGGAGTCGAAACCAGGTTTAATGACAGTTTAAGATAGTTATTGAAAACAAATGGTAAATAAAAGACAATCATACATATGGAATGTGAGTATCGTTCATATCAGCAGTGTATGAATGAGTGAAGCAGTTTGTGTCCACACCATTAGCAACAATTGTGAACAATTTTGAGTTGGAGTGTGTAAGATATACTGTGCCACTTGTGGTTACCATCATGTATCAGCGCAAACTGTTTGCGTGCGAGAATGTGTTTCGAGTTTTGCAATCCCAGCTGAAATTGGGTGAGAGGCAGGGTCCACCCTGGACAGGTCGCCAGTCTATCACAGGGCTGACACTAAGAGATGGACAACCACACACACACACACCCACACTCACTCCTATAGTCGCCAGTCAACCTAAGCTGCATGTCTTTGAACTGTGGGAGGAAGCCAAAGAGCCCACACAGGCACAGGGAGAACATGCAGACTGCACAGAAAGGCCCCAGGTCAGCTGGGGTTTGAATCCGAATCCTGCAAAAAGAATGATGCCTTCGATAAATGAGTATTGGCAGTTCTGAGAATGGGGTTTGGTGGTTTAGCAGTTCAGAAAACTAAAAAAAAAAAAAGCCTTAATAATTTCCTAAAAGAGCAGATCACTGTAGTTTTTGTCAATCAAAAGAAAAAGTGAATTTGCTGGGGATATAAGTGGTGGATTACTCTACTTTAATTAGTAATTGTGGCAGGTCGGAAGGTTTGTATAAGACAGAGTAAATGACAGTGTATGTGGTAATGAAGAAACATGTCAGTGCACATGTGTCTAACAGCAAAGCTACACGGCACAGAGGAAGAAGACACATCAGGCTCTGATACAGCACTGGTTAGTAGGAGACATTCAGTGTAGGTTGGAGTCTGCACACAAAGGAAAACAGAGAATATTACTAGACTCATGCAGTTTTCTATGTACAGTAGTTTGCAATGTCATATAGATTAGACTTTATATTAGTCACCATAATCAGGTGATTAGGTTACAGACCTCAGTTAATCCTTTTTACAAAGTAATCACACTGGTACTGTATAGAGCTGCTGTTCTTCTTTTCACTAGTCTGGGAATGATTCTCCATCCGTCCTGCAGCACACTGTCCACCTTTAATAGGTGATAAACACAGCTCCTCTGTTGACAAATATATGTAAACATGAGCATATAACCCCTGTTTTGGCCTTACTTTATTGGCTTCCTGTTCATGACAGGATTCATTTAAAACTTTTTTTAACATTTGTTTTCAAAGTGCTGCATGGTTTGGCACCCTTGTATATCTCAGAGGTCTTGCATGTTCACACACCAGGAAGATCTCTAAGGGCATCCAGTCAGCTGCTTCTAGATGTCCAGATTTAAACACAGTGGGCATCAGGCCTTTGTGGTTGTGGCTTCAAGACTGGAATAGCTTACAACCAGTCATTAGGTCTGCTCCCAATCTGGCTGTTTTTCAGTCACTTCTTAAAACTTAGTCAGGCAGGTGTTTTATGTTGGTACAGACTAAAGCATTTGTTTGTCTGTGTACTTTGTTATTGTGATGTTGTCTGCTTTGTTCATGTCTTTACACAGTTTTTGTTATTTATGTGTTGCTCTTGTTTTAGCTTATTCTTTTGTTTTTATTTTACTGTGAAGCACTTTGTGACCTGGGGTTAGAAAGGTGCTATATAAATAAACTTTGCATTTTGATTTTGCATCCCACTGAACAGACATCCATAGAGCTGTAGCTAGAACTGAGGACACAAGTCAAGATTTCACTGTTGTTTCTGGGAATGTAATGATGTGACCAAGAGTTTATTTTTTACAATTACATTTGTTGTTGTTTTTAGGTTGACTCTGATTATTTTACATATTTTTAAATGTGGCTGTTTTCTTAAGTGTATCCCTGACAACATGGGGATAGGGTTATAAACAGCATTTAAACTACCATGAAGCGAGATAAAATGTACTGGAAATAAAGACACCATATGATTAGACTGTAAATTACTGAATAAACTAACAGATGTTTGGTGGCTAGTAAAACCAATGAGCTCAGGATATTAGACATACTGGAGTCCAGACTGCCCAAAAACTGAGCAAACAGAAACTGAACATCACCAATTAACTGCTAATGTTGCCCTCTGTATGCTAGATGTGTAAATAGGTCTCTATTGGCTAACACATTCAACATTGTGACTTTTTAAACAATAATATGTTAGTGTTGTATTTTGCAACTTTTTCTACTGCCACCAAAAGGCCAGAAATTCAGGTTTAAAGAAATTAAGTTCGTATAACAATGACTGTAGCTGGATCCCTGCCTCTTATGCACTAGATTCACTGCCTGCTGGTTTATTTGAGCTTCCAGCTTCTCAGTGGCCCATTTGTGCATTACATTATGTCAAACATGTCCCCAAATTCCGAAAATGCAACAAAAAATACTGTCCATTTGCTAAAATCTACTCACTGCAATGTGCCATGTGACTGAAGTAAAACTGACACTAACGGGTCTATAATAACAAAATGATGATGACTGATAAACGTCTCCATTTATAAACGCGTTTAGAATGATTAACGAAAAGAATAAAATCATTCTTAGGACTGAAAACACTGACAGGCCTGACCTAACTTGGCGCATGCGCGCCAAACGATCGGACAATTTTCTACAGTAGTAGCGGAAGTAAACAAACTATATTTCAAAATAAATCATTAAGAACGTGCTGAAATTGAGCTGAAACTCTAATCGGCGCACAGTGGGGTTATCACTGTGAGTCCAGGTATTTAAACGCCCACTTTACAGTTTTAATAGCCTTGCAAGCAGATGTAGAGTGCTGTAAACTACACAGTGACCTATAAATACAGAAAAAACAGAAACCGAATTTCTAGTTACTTTAAAATAACGTGATCATCTGACCACTCTCGTGTTATTTATTGAGTGAACAAGCATTTCGTCAGTAACAGTCGTCAAGTTGAAGATTGTACCAGGAAGTGGTCTATACAACTGCAGCGGACTTGACCCTTAACTTGTTTCCAACACCTCCCATCAGTTTTTCTGAAGAAGACTTCCGGTGGTGTGTCATGGCGCTGGCATGGTGAATCCCACAGAAAGGGAAAAATACTCGCCCCTGTGCTCCTCTTCCATCGTTTGAGGGCAGATTTTCATTCAGAAATAAGCGTGTCAGCTCCGGCCTCACACCTCGGATTAAGCAGCACAGCGCTGCGGTGTCCCTCCGCCCGGTCATGGCGGCTCACAAACCCGTGGAGTGGGTCCAGGCCGTGATTACTAGATTTGATGAGCAGGTAAGATGGGCTGATTCAGGGGATGGGTGTAGCAAGCTGTGGTAGTCTTGAGGGCCCAGCAGTCCGGTAAACGGCACGTCTGTTTAGAACAGGTCCTTTTTAAAAACGGATGCACGGAGCGTTTTCACGTCAGGAGCATTTTCTTCGATGAAATGTGTCGGTACTGTTTGTCCCAACTGTAAAACACTGATGAGGTCTTTCTAGCTAGCACCACCGTTTCTACCTTCTATCAGCACATTTATCCCCCTTTTGTCCAGGCGCTCAGTTTCCGAGCGAGCCGGTCGACTGCTAAACAATTTACAATACAACAACATGTTAGAGATGTTGCAGCCTGCACACACGCGTCTGTGTGAATAGCTAACGTGTTCTTTCATTGCAGCTAACATTCGCAGGCCTAGCCGTCTAATGTAAACAAATAAGATGTGACTGGGTTAGCACCATGGATGGATAACCGAACCGGCCTACCGGGCACAGGCCCAGCGTGTCCGTGACCTCTCGGCCAGAGGCTTTGTATTAATAAGTCTTTGCGGGTTCTTGTGTCAGAGTCCCGCGGCTCAGTTAAAGAGACAAAACGGCCACAAACGACGCAGCGTTTGTAGTCGTTTTGTGTCTCTTTCGATGTGGTAACCTGTGTGAGCCGAAGGGTCTTTTAGCTGTCTATGCTTAACATGCTGCATTTATATGAACGAATTAAATTACAGACGTAAGGAATGCTGCTCTGTCTGCTATAGCTGCTATCTTCTAATTACCACTGTCAGGTTGTCTGCTTCATATGGCAGGTGAATTTTTCTTTATAGCTACCATTGACATGCCTTCATTCAGTCTACTCATTCACACTTACTAGTTGCTAACTTTTAATTCTGATAAATCAGCAAGATTTGTTGTAAAAATGGCCAAACTGTTTAAGAAACGTTACATTCAATAAAAGGCACATTGTGGTAATGTTGACCTCTCTGCCACCCCAGTCTGTTTGTATGTTTGCTGTTTAAATGGAAATCTGACAGCCAATCTGTGTTTAGTATATTCAGCAGTGTTTGCCATTTTAAAGTAATTTGGCTTTGTCCAGTCCCTTAAGTCTTTGCTTCTGGTATTAGTTACCACAGATCATGGATTGTAGCTGGGGTTTTAGCAGCTCAGCTTGGATTACTGCAGTCAGATGAAAAGTGGCTTTAGGTGTTATACCCACATCTTGGTCATTGCTACCCTAAGCCCAACAAAAGCCTTTAGTTTCTCTCTCAGTAAGCATGCAGTTTATTATTGGTGCTAAAATATGTTTCCCTTTGTTAACTACCTGAACATCATCTAGAGAAATAACTACAGCAATAACAGTAGAGGAGTTATTTGATATGGTGAGCTCATGACCTGCTAACATATGATGTTTTTGTTTTCTGCATCACCACTGTCAGTTAATGAGAATTTAGCATAGTGTTTTTTCAGCTTTTTTTTTTTAAACTAATATTGTTGGATGTGCTGGGGAATGAGTAATTGAACAACCTGAAATACTGAAGGTAGACTGTAGCTGCTTACCAGAAGCAGTGCTATAGAGTGCTAGACCACTTGAGAAATATGAGCTTGCGCTGACTTGCTGATGTCCACTTCATTTGCTTACGTTATGGTGTTTTAGGAAACGGTTGTGCTTGATTAGTGGGGTAGTGTGGGACATTACTTTTTGGTCTAGATACACCAGCCTGGTGTATGGTGGTGTCTGGCTTGGTATTAAAATGTCAGTCAGATGTGGATCTGGTCTCAGTCTTTTAACATTTGTTAATATTGAGTAGAACTGCAATAATTAGCCTGATTGATTAGTCAATTGACAGAAAATGTATCAGCAAAAGTTTTGATAATCAGTTTGTTAGAGAAATTTTAAAAACAACAAATCTCATTCCTTCAGCTTCTCGAATATAATAATTAGCTGCTGCTTGTATTCTAGTAAATTAAATAATTTGAAGTTTGTACCATTGCTTGCACATGTGATGACCTTACCTTGTGTTCTAAATTATTTTAAGTGATGTTTTCCCACTATTTTCTGATGTTTTAATAAGTAACTAGACAGCACTCAGAGTGCAGACCTCTGCCAAGGGGCAAGTCTGTTTCCCCATAATACCATAAAAGCAATATTCCCCTGATACTTTGGCCTTCATAATATGATAGCTTCATCATGAATACCTACTGCTGGCATTTGGAATGATGCTGATATCATTATTAGTTTAAAAATTATTCAAGAAAAACGATAGACGTGACAAACATTCACTTGTTGGTTTAGGGGTAAAACATAGGGCTGAACGATGAATTGTTTTGTGAGTGTTATTTGGATCCCTGTGCAATCTCAGTCTCATATGACAATGATTCTGCCGTGTTTGCAATAGCAGTGAGATTGCTTGCATCAAACTAAATGCTACCTTTTCCTCACTAAGCTGCGCTAACTAATAACCACAAAGTGATTTATTTCTGCCTCACTGCTATTTGGCGCTAGGTGTACAGGGCAGGCAGCGCAGTGTTGCGGGAGAGAACAAATCATGCAGCCCTATTAAAACAGGGGCTTCAGTGAATGGACCATGGGCAGAGCTTTGAAGATGTCACATTTCTGTGAGTGTGTGTCTCCTCTAAATAGACTGACACTGAAAATTACACTGGAAAAGCAAAGTAGGATGGTATAGCGGCTACACCTATGACCTACATTGGCCACAGCCATAAGCCTCTGATGATCAGCGACTTCAGCCACGACAACCAGACAGGTTACGCAGGGTAATGGTTAATGGAAGCACGGGTTGTAGCGATTGTTAGGTTCCGACAGTAGAAACAGAGCTATAATGTGCAGCTGGAGCACTGGCACCCTTGCTGACAGACTGCTCTGCTCTGAACTAGATGCAGCTGCATGCTAACTGTGCTAGCTTGGTCAGATAACGAGCACTCACATCTCAGAAAACACTGGAACAAATTCTAAATTAGTGTTACTCGGATAGACTGACCACATATTTTCAATCTAAGTGGTTACTTCATTGCCTGAAAATACATCAAAACGTAATGCAGTGGCATAATGCCAGTCCTACAGGTGAAAATGATAGCAGCTTTGAATCTGGCTCAAAATCTCTGCCATCAGATTTGCCCAGGTGTTGCTGCATACAGTAGAGCTCAGTTTCTGAAACAGAAAAACCAGGGTTTCCCTCATTTCACCTTGAACAAACCTAACCTGCTTTCTGGAATAAATCCCAGATTGTAGCAACATAACAGCTAGCTTTAGCATCATGAACAAGCCACAGCGTAAACAGATTAGCTTTACATAGTACACTGACATGAGAAAATAGTACATGCCACAAAGAGCTAAATAAATGTCCCATGCAGACTAATGTAACAGCGTGTACTAGCAGTTCTTCATAGATGTACATAAATCACACTACACTTATCTGCCCTCATCTTCACACCAGTGCTCAGTGGTGTAGCCGTGCACCTTGACCACACGGGGGCTCATGTACAGTCAACCTCTGCTACACTCACAATGTTGAATAATCTTTTAGAAAAACCCTGTATTCAGATTAGGTGACAGATCAGCACCAAAATGTAATCAGTTGCTCTGTGGGCCAAAACCTGTCTCTACAAAAATTCACTGAAAATGATTCATTACTTTTTGAGTTATGCTGTTAACAAATAAGCAAGCAGTCAAACAAACGGCAGCAAAAACATAACTCCCACTCTTGGCCAAGGTACGGTGGGTGTTGTTGGTCTGCAGTGGTTAGTACCTACCAACAGTGTCTAAGGAAGGACAAATGGTGAACTGGAGACAGGGTCATGGACGCCCATGGCTCACTGATGATGAGGTTGATCTACTGTAGATTAAACTTTTAACTTCCATTTGTACTTTTCAAAAGATTAAAATGTATTTGAATCTTTGTTAAAATGGTTGAAAGTGAGAAATACTGTCCATTGGTCTCTATGAAGAGAAAGAGTCAGGGGCTGTAGTGGTGATATCACACCTAGAGTAGTGAGGCAGTTGGACTGGTCTAAAACATTCTCTCTAACTCATCCTCACGACCACAGTTTCACTCCTTTTACATAAGTTTTCACTGAATTGTAGACACATCTGTGCTCTTCCTGACAGTAGAACTGTGGAAGCAAATAGATTCACAGAAGATGAACAGTGAGATGCAGAATGACACGAGTGTCAACCAGCTACCACATTGACTCCTATGTAAACAGTATTAGGCAGGTGGTCATCATGTTATGGCTGATCAGTGTATAACTGCAAGCAGAAAACTGGAGGAATAAGTTGAAATGCACAGAAGTGAAATACAGTGCATTGCTCATAGATACAATGAGAAATACAGATCCAGAATAGAGAAAGGAGTGCAGAGATGTGGCCTACTTCCTGTTTATGTCCTCACTGCCAACTCTGTCATAGCCAAATGATGTCAGTAAGGGACATGAGTGTTCCTGACACAAGCTGAGGAATGTAAAGTCACCCACTGCTTAAAAAAACTGATGAGCCCATTAAACTGACTCATGAGCCAGTCAGTTACTTTAAATCAGGAGCCCCCAACCTTTTTTGTACCACGGACCGGTTTCATGCATGAAAATTTTTCCGCGGACCGGGTAGAGGCACGGGGGTTCCAATAACCAAAACCTTTGTCACTTCATAGTATGTAATCCGAAGGCAACAATTACAATTTATAATAGGCAATTACAATAAATCTACACTATAATATCAACTCACCGTAATGCAGAGTCAGTGGGAGCCTTGGGTTTGTTTCCCTCCAACTAGATGGTCCCATCTGGGCGTGATGGGAGACGGTGACACTCGAATTGTGTTCCGTATATCCAGTCTACTCCGTAATTAAGAATGATGTTTTCAGCGCAGACACGTTTGTTGAAGTGGTGGCCTTCATTAACTGTTTTTGTCGTTCATGTTAAGGTTTTTTTCTTTCAAAAAATTCCAAGGGCTTGTCATTTAACTCAGGGTGTTTTGTCTCAATGTGGTGGAGCATTTTTGAGGGTTTCATGGCTTCATTAGCTTGTCGGTCACCGCAAATTATGCAGGAGCTCTTATGCGGCGCTTGTGTATCACCTGTTGCGATGAACCCGTAACTTGGGTAGGAATTGTGGTATTTTCATTTAAATGCAGCTTTCTTTTTGCTGACAGTCTGTGACCCTTCTGCTGTCCCAATGTTTACTCGTTCCTTCCGAAAAAGCTCTCCAGTGGACTTTTGTTTTTGGCTCATTTGTTTTTCTCAAGGGTTAGCTTTTGTCGCTGATGTGTGAAATGGCGTGCCAGAGTCAAGTGCAATAGTGAGGTGAGGGTGGAAACAGTTGTTTTTCAAAATAAGATCCAGAAGACTAATGAAACAAAAATAACTATAATTTTAACCACAGAATTTTTTTTCTTTCAGCCCGGTATTAAATGATCCATGGGCTAGGAGCTGGGGACCCCTGCTTTAAATAATAGTGGTATCCTAGTCCGATCCACAGGATTGGGATCAGGCCCAAGTCCAGCATTTTTAATTTCAACCTTATACATGCAGATGAATCCATATCTCTGCTCACACCTGTGATGGTTAGCACTAGGGCTGCAACTAATTGGCAGATTTTTATTTATTTATTTATTACATTATTAATTTGATTGTTTTTTTTTCTATAAAATGTGAGAAAACAGTGAAAAATGTCTGTTTCCTACAGTCCAAATGGATGTTTAATCCAAACAACAGTCGAAAACCCCAAAGTGTTGGGTTTATTATAGTAAAAGACGAGAGGAGCCAGCATATCACACTGGAGAAGCTGAATCCTGACAGTTTTGGTTTTTATTTTTCTTAAGAAATGACTCAAAACGATTACCAATTTATCTAAATAGTTTCTTTTTGTGGTACAGCTAGTTAATTATTTGATTAAATGTTACAGCTGTGCTTACCATGTTAATGCAGTAAAGTGATAATATAACATGTACTGCAGGGTTGAACACATTATTATTATCACATTTAGTTTTTTCTCTAATCTTGACCAAGTGCCTTTATATCAGTGTTAAGCGTTTAGGAAGGAAAAGTGAAAGAAAAAACTGCTACCGTGAGCTGATTAGAGGAGGTGCATCATGAAGGGCAGTGTGGTTCAAATCTTCCAGAATATCCGTTTTTGGCTAATTCACCAAATTACCTGATAAATGAAGGCACTGGATCAAATTGCTGTAAAGACCATACCAAGAATGAAACACTGCCAATTTGATGTGTTGCTCTAATGCACCTAGAGATGATAATGGGTTGCAGCTTTGTAAGGAAAAGGGAGCATTTGGTTTGGTGCAAGAGATCTTACTGCTATTGCAAACACAGCAGAATCCTTGTCACATGAGACTGAAATCTAAATCGGGGATCTAAATCACACTCACAGAACGATTTATTGTGCATCCCTAGTTGTTGGTCCTTTGAAACACGTTGGTTTACTATGGCACATTGATTACTGAGGATTTAGCCTGAATAAATCCAAAGTTAACTGGCTAACCCACTGCATGTTCTAGGTAGCCTGTATCTATGTGGTTATGTTCTGGCCACAGTCGGGCATTCTCTCAACATACAGTCTGCACCTTGGAGGGGCTTAGCCTCTGAGGACGGCCTTCTCTGACCATAATTAAGCATTTTCCAGACAGTATTGAGCAATATTGGGAAGCATGAATGCTGATGGCTAATGCATAACGGATGGAGCTTGTCAAATGTTGCTCCCAGTATTTAAAGAAACCTATCTCTGCTAGTAGGCTCACAACCTCTATATTTTCAACTCAAGGTCCACTTGCTAGCTTTTTCTGGAGCTTTCAACTGCTTCTCACAATTTTTATAATATGAAAACAGTTATGATTATGCCTACATTGCCCAGCTCAGCCACATACATTTGTGTTTTTGAGCTCAAAGCTTTATATATATACACTCATGGCCTCGGCAGGAGTCCATGCTTTTATGTCAGATAAGTGTGCATGCCACAAATGTACATGCATCCTTCAGCTGAGGTGAATAGCATACAGTATATGGGCAAGATAGACTCGGTTGTCATTTTGTCAACCTAGCTAAAACTAATTCAGTGAAGGTGATGGTGCTCAGGGAGGTGTTGATTCAACTTTGTGGTCATTCTGGAGGACACAGTTTGTGTTGCTGTTGAACTGTGCTGCATTTCTGTTATTTTCACTACACAAAATATTTGAAACACATGTCGGTATAACAGTATATGGTTCAACATCAACAGCATCCTCCAAAATGACTGTACAGTTGAACCAACATCTCTGAAACAGTTTGAACACCAACTTGTATCCAGGACTTTTGGATTAGACTAGGTGTGCCTAATAAACTGGGCAGTGAGTGTATGTGTGACCTTTTAGAGGAATGGCTAGGCCTGGCTGTGTGAAACAAAGAGTTCACTGATAGCGCTGTGCTGCACTGGACTGCAAACAGAGGCATGGCCTGTTTTACATTGTGTATTAATGTGCATGTGATGGTGTGACAGTCTGAATTCATGATGGAATATGGGGGTGTATTGACTTCCTGTCTTAAGACTTTCAATCGAAAGTCCAGTTTTTTTGACCTGATACAGTGGGTGACTGTTGGGTGAAATACAGTCATGGCCAAAAATATTGTCACCCCTGCATTTGTGTCAGATAACACACCACTGGTCCCAGAAAGTTATCACAGAATTATTAAGACCTTTTCAAAACCATCAGAAATAGTTGTATTCCAAGCAGGTGATGCTCCTTTAGTTTGTAAGGAAACTCACTCAAAATTTGATTTGTACTTTGAGTTTTTAATTTGACTCATGCAGCATCCACTGACATGGAGGGGGTGGGGTTTATGACCTATACTGCAACCAGCCACAAGGGGGCAGTCGACTCCTGGTGGCTTCACTTTTGGGAGCTGTCAGCCAGTCTTTTATATACAGTCTGTCAAACACAGTACATTATAAGGTGATCTTGATTGTATTATGGTCCTATATGTCATTCTCCTCTTTCTGTGTCTTTTCCTTTAGCTTCCTATTAAAGTTGTACACCAGAACACCCACACCAAAGTCAGCACAGAGCACAACAAGGAATGTCTGATCAACATCTCCAAGTACAAGTTCTCCCTTGTCATCAGTGGCCTCACCAACATCCTTAAAAATGTCAATAACATGGTGAATGGGTTTTTTTTCTTCATCCATTGTTTATTATTGTCAGACTTGGTAACTCATGCTGTTCAGTTTTACGTGTGTTGCACTACTCAGAGCTGAAGTCTTTGCACCTTTGTATAAAAATGCAAAATCTGATAAAACTGATTTTTTTTTCAGTCCTCCTAAACAAAAGTACAGAGTGGAACTATTTACACTTTCCAAAAGAAAATAAGTTCTGATAAGTTCAGATCCAGTTTAGAGGATGTTAGGAATTCCAGTAGAGTAGCTTGTTCAAAGGAGGTGGTATCCACATTAGGACATCAGTTGACAACATGACGCACGCTAACCTTGTTGCATCAACTTGGCAACTGTATAGGCAGCTGTCCTTAGGCTCTGGCTGTACCTGACCAAAAACAAACTCTAAGCCAGTCCCTCCAATCCCTCCCTGACCAACAAGCTTAACTTAAATGTTTAGCTTTGGTCAGTTAAGGCAGTCAGTAATAAGTGGTTTTGTCAAATGAGAATATAGGAGCGTGCATTGAGATGCAACACTATAATGAGGTGGAATTGATCCTAATCAGTAATATGACAACATCAGTGCTGAGGTTTCCTAATGCTATGTGGTCATATGTACTTGTCTGTTCTGTGGTTGTCTTCACAGCGGATTTTTGGAGAAACTTCTGAGAAGAACCTCTACCTCTCCCAGCTCATCATCCTGGACACACTGGAGAAGTGCTTGGCCGGGGTGAGTGTCCCCCTCTCGACACCCTGCTCTCTTAGTCGTCTTAGATTTGAGAAATGCTGCGGTGTTGGTTGTTTCCTCCCATCTTTCTGCATTTCTTTTAAATCAAACCCAGAAATAACTGAGTATCTCTGCTGCTGTGTTTGTGCTCACTCTGACTCAAACCTCTGTTAATGTACTTACCCCTCCATCAATCACAGCTCTTTGTCTCTGGGAGGTTCCTCTGTGAGTCAGCAGGCCCAGATTACATTTGCAGGAGTTTGGTAGGAGTCTAGCATCTGATGGGAACTGCTCTCAGCTTCCCGTCCAGGTTTTTGTTATTAGCACTTAGTGTCAAATGGAGGCCAGGTCCCTTTCTGTATTAGTGCATAAGGCTGTGGTTCTGAATTGATCCTAGTACTTTCCCATTTCTATAATACTGTTTGTCCAAATATTGTTCGAGTCATTAGATGGCACGTGGTCTGGCCAGTATTGGTGCAACCTCTGTCACGAGACTTATAAGGATATTATATTCTTACAAACCAGTGTTGCATTATTGTCTGTCTGCTAATACAGAATCTGAAATTATAACAAGGCTGTACTTTGTCAAAATCTAATCAAAGACATCAGGACATCTCGACATTAACATGTATTATTGCACTTACCATAGATGCTGTGTTCAAACCAGTGTGTTTCTCTCTTTAACACAGTTGCTTTAGCAGGTCCACGGTCCAAAGTTAAACGTGCTTCTGCGAGTACAAAGACAGCAACATGACACAGACGGGATGTCACATTTTGTGGACAGAATCAATTGAAACAAGGCTATAGTCTGTATATAGTGTCTGCAGATGAGGCTAATTGATCTCTGGCAGCACCACAGTGTACAATGTGCCATCAGAACGGTGTCATGATTGACAGCAGCAGGAGAAATACAGACAGCACATTACTGCTGTTTGTCAGCTGTACAAACTAAAATGGGTAGAAGTAACACTGCTTTTCTTCTGATTGACATCTGAGGTTGCGGCCACCTTGTCTGAATAGAACTTTTTGGGTATTGTAGTGAACGCACCTTCTTGGAGGTCCCATTTAAACATTCAGTGGAAATGGAAAAAATTTCTGGAACAAGTTTGCACCTCTTTTTATGTAGTCACTTTAGTGCTCTGTAGCCTATAGCAGCCAACATGATGATAATAAGGACACTGATGTTGATGATTAGGCTGTTGTATCTCTATTTGTAGCCCATTTTTCTTCTGAAGAAGAATTTCTGTTCTTTGGCGATGTCTGTGTTGGACTTCATGCACAGCTCAGCTCCCTCACTCGACTGCTAATGCCAGTGGGTTTCAGCCACTAACATCAAACTGGGACCTCACTAGGTGAGAGCAACGCATATGCACGATGGAAGCGTTTGATCTATTCAGTCCACACTGACTTTGACCTCCATTCAGCGTCTCTCGT